AGCAGTTTGAACTTCTTGTTCTTGTTCTTCAAAGATTGCTTGGGCAGTGTAGGTTTGAGGTTGAGGGTGAGGATTAGCGGCGGCTTGAATCGCTGCTATTCGGTCAGTTCGTGCGATCTGTAAAGCCGCTTGATTTTTGCCTGCTGGAAGTTGAATGTTATCTTCATTGCAGACGCGGATTAAGTCTTGCATTTGCGGAACAAGTAAATTTATGCTCTCCATATCCGGAGCCGTTTGAATACTATTTAAAAGAACATCATAAGCCTTTTCATATGCCATTCCTATTATATCCTCTGCTCTTCTGCCAGCCGGCAAATTAGCATTTAAAGGAAGAACTAAAGGCAACAGGGTGTAATCATATAGCATGTTAAAGTTATTTTCTGTGGCAAGATTTGTAAGCGAATAATGGGAATGGTCTAGATGGTTTTTCAATACTTCAGTGGGATTAAAATTGTTAGTAGTTTGTCCATAGCTAGTATAAGTAGGAATTATTCCGCCTTGGATTTCGTTAGCATTTCAGCCATTATTGTGGGCTATCCGAGAATTTGCTCCGTCCAAACCTCTTCCTTGATAATCAAGTATTTGCGTATTGCTTAAGGCAGAAGGAGCCGTTCCTTGAAAATCATGAATAAATTGGGCTTGGCTTTTCAAAAGAACAGTTATATCGTAAGGATAAAGTGCTTCACCAGCGACTCGACCGCGATTTGCTTGGACTTCTCAATTGTCAACATCATCAGCACCTCAACCATTATCACGAGCTACACGAGCTGCCGTTGGGGGATAATTCTTGTCGAATCAATTTAAAAAAGTTTCTTCTTCTACAGCATCTATTGTAACCTGATGTCGATTTCCTGGCACTAAACTTCCGGGAGCATTATTAAAAGCCTCTCGATAAGCCGTTAATTTATCGGTTGCTTGCGGGTCAATCGTCTCTCAATCAGTCCCATTATTTCAAGTAATTTCGCCGAGATGCTGACTAGTTAAATTACCAATGTTTTCTAATTTTCAATCATTATCATAAACCTGTCGGGCTACTGCTGGATTAGAATAAATTGTCATTCACTCGCTAATTTCTGCCTCAGTTGGCAAGGGTCTTTGAAAATCCTCTTCATTTGGTGTTCGACCATTACCCGCAGACACAAAAACTTCCCGATAAACTAATTCTCGTGTTTGCCTCGTTCAATCGTAATCTTTATATGTCGTTCAATTATCAAAAGAACAAATTTTATCGCCGTCGTCATTAGTGCTAATTTCAACCGGATTAGTTCAGCCCAGGTCGTAAGCTTGTCTTGCTTCGGTTCCAGTAATCTGATAATTGCCATTAAGACTTGTTTTCTTGTATGCCAAAATGTCTTCATTGCTGACCCCATTAGCACCAAAGGAACGGAAAACATGAATAAAATCTAAATCAGCTTTTTTTTGGGTTCTTGGGTCTACATTGTTGGTTGATACTCCGTGAGAAGTATAAGTGAAAGTTTTAGGGTCGAGAACAAAATTGGTAATTCTTCCTTCCTCAGTGTTAGGATTGCCAACATTTTCTCTTAAATCTCTTCAACCATTACTTCAAACTTTTTCTGCTTCGGAAATATTTGAAAATGGTCGAGGAATTGTTAAACTTAAATTGTTTCTTCAACTTAATCTGATAGCATTATCAGTAATTCCTTTATCATCAAAGAAAACAATTCAATCAGCAATTTCTGCTTTTAATTCATTTAGTTTTGTTTCTCTTGCGGTGTGTAAAGAAACTTTTTTGCGAATATTTGGTAGCTTAGCATTATCAACTGCTGTAATTGCTTCAATTCGGTCGAAAATCTCTTTTCCAGCTTCCTCGTTTAAATCATCCATGTTAACAACAGTTTTCGCGTTGATATCTTTTATAATTTCGTGAACGTTATCTAATTGATTTTTGTCATGGTTGTAAGGTTTAACACCAACTGTTTCTATGCCAAATGAAGTATAAGTGAAATTTCTGTTAAAGGTATCTCTACCGGCTACGTCAGCAGTAATCTCGCCAACGCGGCTGTCTTTGTTTGGTGCGGTGAATATAGTTCCATCTACCACGCTATTTCAATTGTTGAATTCTAAAATGAGTTCATTTCTTAGTTCGAATAATCTTTCCTTAAATAATTCGGCAGGCAAAATATCATTATTTAATGCTTTAATTCGATGTTCAATTGCTATTCCCAATCTCCCACTTACTAAATCAGAAAAATTGGTTGGATTTGTAATAACTGAACGAATACTATGAGCCTCATCTAGTGCTGCTTTATCTACTTGGAGAGGGTTAATATCCTCGTAAGTTATTCCATCAAGTCGGTAATTAAAATTAACGTCCGTCGGTAAGCGGTGCCTGGAAGTTCTGGGTAAGACACCGGTAAGTTCAGTTCAATGTTTCTCCTTATAAGCTTCCACTGCTTGGGACGGAGTTCGGAAAAATTCTTTTCATTTGGCTTTTTCATGAGCGTCTGTAATTCCGTGGTCGGTGAAAAATATTCGGTCCCATTCTCTATCCTTTGCGTCTGCTTTACGCGTTTCGATTGGATATGCGACTTCTTCACCATATTCATTAAATATTGCGACGGGATCTGTTGAGTCTGGGCGGATAACAATTTCGTTCGGACTTCAACCACTATTTTTGGCTGTTTGGGCTTGGGCATGGGTTAAAAAACCTTTGTTTACTCATTGCTGACGTTCAGCAGGGTCGGCAAAATCAGCTTCCGCTCAATTATTTGCTTCTTCATAAGTCATCGTTAGCGGATAACTTACCTCCGCCAAGTTTCCAAGTCCAGCTTGGTAATGGTCGACCTGAGGGATGGGTCAGCCGTTTCTTTGTGCTAACGCAGCATTTTCAAATGATTGCCCCGTCCGTCTTCACAGTTCAGCCTCATCGCCAAATTCTCCTCTTCAACGAGCGTTCTCGCGTTCTCTGGCTGCTCTTTCAACTAACACTATTTCCCTTGCTCTTAAATCTTGGAGAAGATTCTGAGAGTCGGTATTTCCTTCCCAAACTCTACTTCGCGGAGTATTTGGGGCACTTTCCGCAAAAGAATTTAAAAAATCAATCGCTTTTCTCACTTCGCTTAAATCACCGGCAAGCCTAGTATAATTGCCGTTAATGTGATCTACTTGTCGATTAAACCCTGTTCGAAGTTCGTCTTCATTCCTTACAGTATGTGTATCATTTTTATCCGTTAATATGGGGTTGACAGTTATGCCATCAAATGTGGTAAACAATCCAGTATTCTCCGCATTAGCATAGTCTTTGGTGGATATATTATCCGTTCTCGCCCTTCAACCTCTTTCAAAAGCTATTCGGGCATCATCAA